TTTTCTGCCCACTATGGGAAGTTTTGTAATAACGGAGGACTGGGAACTAGTCTGGGAAGTGCTTTGTTTAGGCTAGACAAGTTACAAGTACCTGCATGTATCATATGCGTGCCACGAAAAAAAAACGATGTCCAGAAGCTGCCAAAATTGCTCTTTTGACTAGATAGAATCCAGCTCTGCGACGTTATGGTGGGATGTGAACAATAAATTGGTGGCAATTTAAATGGGAAATAGCATTAGCACTATGGGATGTCGCAGTATTCATTCTCATTCTTCACATTCTTCATTCTTACGTCCCCCCCCCCCGCTTTTATTATCCCAAAAATCAGAATTCTTTGCACTAGTATTATTATGTCTCTTATATTTTCCTGCCCCCCCCCCCATATTAATACGCCTTTACTTACCATATCCACTCTACTTTTCAGCGCCTTGCGTTGCAACAGTATAATTATTGAGAATCAGTGAACGAGGATTCAGCTAGACTTGCCAAGCGCAGCCGGTGCTCGGCATCGACAAGACCGTTATCTTGTCGCGCATTCTCGAGAATGTGCGCTCAATCTGGAAGAGATATTTTTTGCCAAGATTGAGCGAGGATCCAGTTGCACATTCTCAAGAATGTGCGTGCCCATTCTCGAGAATGCGTGATTTTCAAGAATGGGCACAACAGACACATGGTGGACGTCGTTGATCGAATGTAGGTTCATGTACGTACGTACGTACGTACGTACGGATACCGGACACGTACACGTACGTACATCTACAGGACGTACGCGCGCTGCCTTAGCTTCGAGCTCAAGCGTACGGTGGCCGTACGGTGTGCGTACGGTGGCCCCGACGGGACATAACTGCTCGTGAATATTTTTTTGCGACGTGACGTCGTGAATTTATACTAGTCCCCAGACCTGACAATTATTCCCAACGCTCACGTCTAAAATAATCGTAGGTAAGGCAGTAACCGCGGCTACAAATAAGCGTGACGACATTGACGGCCCTTTATCAAAGCTCGAATTCGTTTATCACATATAGCTTTTAATTTACGGATCAAATTTGAAAAAAAAATCACTTTCTTCACATACCATACAGCTATGATAAACAGAAAGACTTTTTTGACACGACGTATAATGTGATCTGACGTTGCGCCGGCATATTCTATCGAATTCCTATTAGCACTGTACACGAGTCGCCAAGGCGCAGATCCAGAGGGTTTGCGGGTCAATTTCTTGAGTTGTTGGCCCCAAATCGAGTTTGGTGCATGGTGGAGATCGAGACCACTATAATAGAGTGCGCGCCACATAAATAGTGGTCTCGGCAACGCATCAACACGGATGCTGCACAATTGAAGAAAAAGAACAACCTTGTTTCCGATGAACTACTCAAGAAATACAAAATGGATTAAATTGAAATGTCGTGCAATTAGTTTTCACGATGTGTAGCATGAGTAGTTTGAATGGCGTGAGAAACCGTGTAGCTATAAATATAATATGATCGTAACAATCTAGTGTTTTAAACGTTACAAATCCATGTTGACTTCCATTAGGTTTGTATTTGTTGCAAATAAAATCCTGTATTGTTACGGTCATAATAGCTTGATTAATTGACGTTTTTTTATTAAATAAAATCTTTTGATTCCAAACATCATGACAAATGAGTGTACGAAAATTCATTTTAAAATAACGTGTATTTCTTGAGTTGTTGGCCCGAAATCGGGTTAGGTGGTGGAGATCGAGACCACTATAATAGAGTGCGCGCCACATAAATAGTGGTCTCGGCAACGCATCAACACGGATGCTGCACAATTGAAGAAAAAGAACAACCTCGTTTCCGATGAACTACTCAAGAAATACAAAATGGGTTAAAATTGAAATTTCGTGCAATTAGTTTTCACGATGTGTAGTATGAGTAGTTTGAATGGCGTGAGAAACCGTGGAGCTATAAATATAATATGATCGTAACAATCTAGTGTTTTAAACGTTAAAAATCCATGTTGACTTCCATTAGGATTGTATTTGTTGCAAATAAAATCCTGTATTGTTACGGTCATGATAGCTTGATTAATTGACGTTTTTTTATGAAATGAAACCACTATAAGGCCAAAAAAAATATTCGGTCTCTGGTCTGACCGAAATTCCGGAATTGACACGGGGACGCGGATTTTTTTCTTATTTTTTTTGCTTTTTTTTTTTCAAGCTTGGATTGTACAGACAAGGTGGGGTACTATTTTGCTTTTTTGGTGTCCTCATGTACATTGGTGTCCTCCATAATTTGCCTAGGTGCTCTCGATCATTTGCCTTGGTGCAATTTCCCATTCCTTGGTGCTCTTTGATAAAAAAAATATTGAGGAGGTGCGGCAAGAGAGGGCGCTGTTGGAGCTACAACCGAACATTTTTGGGAAAAAAAGATTGACGCGCATGATTAAAATCGACGCGCGCGCTGATCAGAGACCGACTTTTTTTTGGCATAATAGAGGGCGCGCCACATAAATAGTGGTCTCAACAACGCATCAATACGGATGCTGCACAAGTGAACAAAAAGAACAACCTCGTTTCCGATGAACTACTCAAGAAATACAAAATGGATTAAATTGAAATTTGGAAACTCCTAAGGGACCCTCGAACACATTCCAACTCGATTCAGGGACAGATATATCATTAAAAAGAAATTCATATTTTAGCCAATTTTATAAAAACTGTAAGGCTAACCTCTTGCAAAATTTGTCAATTTTCGTCAAAAAAATTAAATTGCTCCAAACTTCCAGGAAAGACTCCTAAGGGCTCCTGCAACACATTCCATTTCGATTTAGGGACAGATATATCATTAAAAAGAAATTCATATTTTAGCCAATTTTTATTTTTAAAAAATGTAAAATGAAAATGCTCCAAACTTCCTGGAAAGACTCCTAAGGGACCCTGGAACACATTCCAACTCGATTTAGGGACAGATATATCATATCATGCCCGTACTCGGCACTGTGTGTACTCGGAAAACTTTGTACTCGAGTTTTGGTACTCGACTACAACATCGCCTCAAACTTTTGTACCAAGGAGCACCAAGGAATGGGAAATTGCAACAAGGTAAATGATGAAGGGTACCAAAGCAAACGATGGAGGACACCAATGTATATGAGGACACAACAAAGCAAAATAGTACCCACCTTGTCAGTACAATCCAAGCTTGAAAAAAAGCCAAAAAAGCCGCATCGCCGCATCAATTCCGGAACTTTGGTCTGACCACAAGAATTACCAGTTTTTGTTGGCCTTATCACGAAATAGATAAGATTTTAATTAAAGATTGGAATTTTCCGAGGCGTGTTGTTTCGTTGCGAATTGAAGTATTTTATGTAAGGCATATTAAGTCGAAATTTCAGCCCAGAAAATTAATTCTGGTAAAAATGGAAGCATTTTGAAAGTACACTTTCAAACTCGAAAACTTTCGTACACGAGAATAAAGAAATTACTCCACAAGGATACACATTTCAGTATGGGTGATTTCGAAAAGTTACACTTTGGATCCTGGATATATGCGTGCTGTGTTGATCTAACTTGTACAAAAGTATGACGGTGGTCTTAATATACAATATCAAAGCACACAATGAACACGATAAGGCTACTTCATGATGCCCTTTATAAGGTTATCATTCTCTGATCCTATTCTATAAAGCAGTTATGTAGACATGTTCAACACGAGTAATAACATTAAATGAACCTTGCACTTTGTTGAAGGGTGGTTTAATTTTCATCAATGGGAGGGAGTAATAATAGGGCTGGAAACACGAAAACACGAATTGTTCACCACTAATGTTGGTTTGTTTTTCTTCTAAATCAGAATCAATATTACAAAGTAACATTGTGTTCTATGTGAAATGAACATTTCTCATAATAACTTCTATTTATGCATTCAAAATGTTGGCTGTCGACTCAATATTCTGGATCTTGCATCAAGGGCTGACGACCTTTTTTCCCAAAAAACAAGCGACATTATGACACTGAGGTCATTTCTCTTAAAAGAGATGCGCCATGCTGAATCTTAAATACCCTGCAGCTTTAATAATCCGTGAAATATTCTCGCACACATTTCTAGCCATGCACTGTTTCTATCTACAATTCTCTTGTAAATATTTTGTATTCATTCAAAAGGAAGGATATATATTTCCTTGCTCTACTTAAGGTTAGGTTTTAAGCGAAAATGAACTACAATTGTCCCTTCATCACCTATAGGTTTTCCAAAAAATATTACAGCAAAAAAAAAAGCTTTCGGCTTTTTAAAAATTATTTCTCTACTTAACGCTTCATGAACCATTCTCTAACTTTGGAACAGGTCAAACCAGTCAAAATCATCATAAAACTGTTCTCAAAACATTTTATGAACTTACAATACTAACAGTGCTCAACAATACTTTAAAAAATAATATATTTTTCTTTACATCATTCGGTTTGATCTTTAATTTATATCACAATCAAACCGTAGATATGATTTGAAGACAAAAGTTTGTCTTGCTTTATGTAAATACATAATTGTGGTGTCAGCTTAACAGTAACAATGGTCTCCTCTTAACTTTTGAATCAGATGTAATCACATCACATTAGGTATCTGCTATCGGTGAAAAAAATTGGGGAAAAAACACTTAAAATGAGTAAATTGGTTATAAGTGTTAGCTATGAACATTTTATGGTAAAGTTGGTCTTTAAATATCTCTGCGAGACCCTGACTTCAAAAACAAAACCAATCCCATTTTTATGTGAAGTTAAATGTTAACACTAAAATGACGTTTCGGTAATGTGAATAAAAAATGGTTCGCCCTATAGGGTAATTGATAGACTTAAGTGTCCTTAAAACTGTAAACAATTGACAAAAATATTCAGGTCTGAACAGGTCTCAAAAAAGGTCTGGGCTGCTGTACCAAGTGCTTGTTTCCAAGGACCATGCATGTGTGTCTCACTCTGTTGTTAACCTCTGTGGCAGTTGCTTCCCACAAGCGTTCAGAGAGTACCAATCATAAAGTGTGTTTCGAAATTAGATTAGTTCTGTCACTCGAGTATCGGTTTGGGTCGACGGTTCTTGCCTTTAAAAGTGGGTTTTTTTTGTTCTGATTTATTGTAGTCCGTGTAGGAGGCATTTGGGCAGATTTTGTGCGACCAGACAATACATACACATCTGGCTAATTAATCAGAATATCTTTTTCCCGAGTGCTCGAGATTTACATGCATGCCTAACTAGCTTTTTAAGCTTTCACGATTATACCTCTTTATTTAATCTCAATCACTCGCTCCATCATCCAATTCACGTGCTCCTGCGTCCTCAGCTTACGGGGCGTCTTGTACTGCATGACAGAAGTCGTTGTCATGGCAACCCTAAAGTCCCTTAGCTCCAGAAAGGTACTTGTCCTCACGAATTTCAGCTGGGCCGGGGATATGGTGTTGGATCCCCGCAGGCCGCTGTAGTAGACGTGTTCTTGCTGAAGATGTTCATCAAACTGAAATGAAAGTGAACACTTGTCTCGTTACCAAATGGGTAGCTCTACAAAAATATTGATAAAGTTGTACGTGTATTTGCGACACCTTGCGCGCGGTGCCTTCAAAGAACCTATGCATATGTTTATATTTCTTTTATATAGCAACACAAACTCCTTATAAATCCAGGGTTTTCAAATCTCGTAACTAGTAAATCTTAAAGTAAGGTTAGTTATCTTTGAAAATTATCTGCAGAGTTGACTAAATTACCTTTGACCTTTGCTCTTCTGTGACTTCATTCAGCTCCCTCTTGTCAGGATCGACCTCAAGAAATACGATGTAGTATAGCTCTGTAACGAAACAAAAGGTCAGAACAAAAAAAAAGACAGAAAAAAACCGCTCAGTGGTTGTTGCAGCATTTTAAGTATTTTAGGAGTGGGAGTAGATTTTTAAATATAGCTTACCTGAACTTTCAGGATCGTAAACTGGGCTCTCTGCGCACGTCCAATCCACTAATTGAATTCCTGGCCAGCCTTGAATGGTGTTCTTTATGGCAGCGTCCACAACTTGGGTGTTCACTTTCTCGTAGACCAAATTTAGATATTCTCCTGACCTGAAAAAGAGCGTCATTAAACAATGCGATGAACTGTTAGCTGGTGCCAGAGGGCCAGCTATAGTGATATCGTATAGGAATATAGAATGCATGTCCATTGTGTATACCAGATGCATGAACAGACTTCCAGTGAAAAGCCATATTGAATCAATTTTTTTTGTCATCAGCTTTATTATGATTACGTATAGTCTTGGTTTTGTTTACCTGTAGAGCATGCGCATGACAGGGCAGTTCTCGTGGAATCCCACAATCTGGATGACATCTCCATTCCGATAACGGTATAGCCCGGAGCGCATGGTCAACACCAGTTCATATCTGCCACCGACCTCAACCTCGTCAATGAGAAGAGTCTTTGGGTCTTCATCCGAACTGTTCAAAAGAAACTATAAAGTTGAACAAACAAATCGACTAGACAGAGGTAATGGAGCATGTAGCCTCCGGATTACCGCATCGGTGCCCTTCCAACCGAGATGTCAATTTTTCTTGGTTTTCCAATCAAATTTTGTCAATTTGTTGGGTTGAGGGGCACTATTCAAAAGCCATAAACCCAAAATGCCATGTGGCCAGGGATCACGCCCAAAGTGCAATGACACAACTACAGGAAATACGGGAATCACTCAGAGATAAGACTCGGATTTTCTTACAACTTTCCATGATAAAGTAATCTTTTGGTATTCCAAACAAACTAGGGATAAGAAAGGGGAGAAAAGTAAAGTGGACCACTTTGTCTTCTATAATAATCACACACCTGTTTTGCTCCGGGATGAACTCCAAGACAGCCATGTGGGAGCAGGGAGCGTATCGAAGCTCTTTTTCATGAAGCCACATGTTGATCGCGAGGTGGCCTACCTCTGTGTTGCCGTATCCCCAACTGAAGCAAGGAACACCTAGCCAAGACATGATCAATGGTTATTTAATACAAATACATTTTTTAAGACAATTGTATTGATGAAGATGGCAAATATTAACTTGGCACTTAGTATTCCCCTTTTTTGGTGGGACCAATATATGAATCGATTCTGTTGGGCTCCGGTTCTTATGTGTAGTTTTATAGTGCTTGCGTAGATTGAATTTAAGGCACACTCTTGAGATTTCTATTCAATTTAACTCTTACCATAACTAAATTTTTCTTCTAGTTTCTTCTTGAAACCCATGATGTCGATTCCCTCAATGGCGACCAGATGAGGCCAGATTCTCTTCAAAATGCCATGGAAGCCTTTCTCGAATTCCCTTCTCAACTGGAATACTCGGGCCTTGTCCAGTCTGAGATAGCGTTGGAGTGACCGGCGTATATCGGGGTCTAGAGGGATCTTAGCATTGATCTGCCCGGTAGATAGATCCTCCAACATGGCTTGCCAGTTGGTCTCCAGACACTTCAGAGCTCGGTACATTTGGGGAGTGAACATGGTAGACAAGAGAGCGAGATTGGTGTCGGCAATCGCGAACAGCATGTGAATGTAGACGGCAGAAGGCTCATTGGTGATAGTGAAGGCCGGTGGAGGAGAGCTGAGCTCCGATAAACGCTTAGTGTCCTCCTGTTTGATGAACATGTACGGAGAAATGACACGGCCAGTTTTGGTGAGAGAGATTTTGGGATGGATGTAGAAGAAACGGCGTTTCTGTACAGGGCTTGGCCGATGAGCACCCTGGTACACAGCCAAGCGCCTGATCTGCTTGCAGAGTGCATCTCCCTCCAGCCAAAAAGAAACCAGTGGTATTTTCTTCCCGGCTCCGGTTGTTCCCGATGTGACGCCGAATCGCACGGGCTCCTCGTCAAGAAAGACGCCTTCTTCTCCGTCTGCCAGCCGCTGGATGTAATCCCTGTAGTGATCGTACGTGGTGAGCGGATGCTTCTTGCGGAGGTCTTCCACTGATTGGATCTCCCCAAGACGGTTCTTGCGCCCGTTCTCCGTCTTGGCATGTCGACTGGTCAGCTCCCGGATCAGATCTTCCTGGGCTTCTCGCGGATGTTTCCACATGTGATTGATCTTTGCCAAGATGGAGGGCGTGGCTAGTCGTTCACCCTGGTGCCACTTGTAGGACAGGAGTAGGGTTGTCAGGGTGTGACTCTCAGAGCATCGTAGAGTCGAGATGTGGAAGGCAATCAGGGATGAGATGCCCAGCAGCACTGCCGCAACACCTAATCGATAAAGGTCATTAATGTGAATACAATTTGTTTGTACAATAGTGACGTTAGTATATTAAATTCTCTCCGTAATATCAGAGTGGCAGCATTTGGTATTTTGGTATAAGCGATTCGACGTGCAGCAACGACGCGTGCATGATTTCGCCCCGATCACCACATTTTCTTTATGGTATATGTTTTCCGTTGGGTAGATGTCCATGAATAAATACCTCATTTTTACAAGCGTAAGTTTCGCCAGCTAGGTTTGCGAGACCAAAATGGCGCTGCTTACTATGTATCTCCCAATCCGTCACTAACAGTCGAGCCTGATGTAAAAGCCGGAAGTATTTTCATACATTTGGTGTACATACAAAATGGGCCGGATTTTTACCAGAGAAGATCCAGGCTAACACACAAGTGACAGATTGCGGGGAGCAATGGCGTATCCAGAAGGGGGCACTTCGCACTGTTTTGACAAATATTTTTTTGTCAGCAATAAATGGTCAGAGAGTTCTGACATCAATCTCAAATCCTTAAAAAACGCTCAAAAACATTACAATGGTACCAGCCCCCCCCCCCTGCTTGTAATACGGAGGTCAAGTGTCCGAAGAAAAAAAAACATGTCTACATTTCAGCGTGGATGTGCGGTTGCCCCCTGACATCAAAAGCTGAATACGCTACTGGGAGTGAGTCAGTCAGTAAATGAGATCAGTGCAGTTGACACTAGGATGACCCTCTGGGTCAAAGAATACTTTTCGAATCAGACCATTGCAGTGGCGTAGCCAGGAATTTTTCAGTGGGGGGGGGGGGGGGGGGGGGCGCTGGGGGGCTGGAACATTTCATGGGGGGCGTCATGTAGATCAATGATAATTTTTTTAGAAACTCAAAATCTCAGTGGGGGTGGGGACAAGGTTTCATGGGGGGGCTGTCGCCCCCACGCCCCTCCGTGGCTACGCCACTGCAGGTCATACAGTTAAAGTTTATGTAAACTTGTATGAAAAAACTCCCATGATCTATTTGACACCAAGTTTGTGTTAACTTGCCGGTAACGCCCTAAAAATTTATCCACACAAATATGTTTATTTTGTAACATTTTATGTTCGTCTGTCGGTCTTCTATGCTGTTATGTTTACTTTTAGGTACCTTCAACGGTACTATGTTTAATTAACCTGTTCATTTGTTTAATTAAACTAATAACGCACATATAGTTGCCAAATATGGCACTAACAAGTTTGAGGTCGGCAATTTCGTCCTTAAAAATCTGGTTTCGTCGGGTTACCGTACACACAATTGTCCTGGAGACAACAGTACCAAAGTACAGAAAGTCGTACGCAAGAGCTCTCCAGTAAGTATCGCTGACGCCATTATGATTCCAAAATTTCTCACTGTATCACACAGTGAAATAACTCAACAGCGTCGTTGTATTATGAACACATAAAAGCATTCAAGTCGCGTTCTTGCATAACAAGTGCACATGAATGAACGATTCGACTTTTATTCAAAGAAATTTCTATGTACAGTCACCAGACTCGATTCAGTAAAGTCCCTGTCAAAACGAAAACAAACAATCCACGTGCATAACGCACGGCTACACCATCGTATAGTGTGGCAGGGACACCAACAAGTAACAAAACAACTTAAAAAAAAAATTAAAAATTGATAAATATTCTGATTGAATTTTGTTAAAAGATACTTGTTGGTGAGGTATCACATATTCTAGCAAATTGATAAAAATGTACAATATTACAATATGCAATTTTGAGGGAAATGGGCAAACTCTGCATAAATCATTTCACTTGATCATATTCATAATACACAAACCGACAATTTTCATTTTCAGACCCACAACGAGAAATATTGTTAACACTGCGCTTATTGTGAGGAGTTGTGCTGGGAATCCATGAAGATGTTATTTTCAACATAATTTCTAAACAATTTAATGGGACATTCCTGTGACATGAGCCTTCCAGATGAAAAGTTTATGTGTGGGAAAGTATGGTACACAAACATGACTGTGTGATTCAAAAGCAGTTGTTGATGCGATCCCTGAATTTACAGCACTCCGTTTAAGGGTGCACACCAATACATAAATTCCCATAGGCACCAAAGGAATATAAAAAAGGAATATAAAAACGAACTAATAAATAAATACTCTTACAACCGTCTGCCAGCCGCTGGATGTAATCCCTGTAGTGATCGTACGTGGTGAGCGGATGCTTCTTGCGGAGGTCTTCCACTGATTGGATCTCCCCAAGACGGTTCTTGCGCCCGTACTCCGTCTTGGCATGTCGACTGGTCAGCTCCCGGATCAGATCTTCCTGGGCTTCTCGCGGATGTTTCCACATGTGATTGATCTTTGCCAAGATGGAGGGCGTGGCTAGTCGTTCACCCTGGTGCCACTTGTAGGACAGGAGTAGGGTTGTCAGGGTGTGACTCTCAGAGCATCGTAGAGTCGAGATGTGGAAGGCAATCAGGGATGAGATGCCCAGCAGCACTGCCGCAACACCTAATCGATAAAGGTCATTAATGTGAATACAATTTGTTTGTACAATAGTGACGTTAGTATATTAAATTCTCTCCGTAATATCAGAGTGGCAGCATTTGGTATTTTGGTATAAGCGATTCGACGTGCAGCAACGACGCGTGCATGATTTCGCCCCGATCACCACATTTTCTTTATGGTATATGTTTTCCGTTGGGTAGATGTCCATGAATAAATACCTCATTTTTACAAGCGTAAGTTTCGCCAGCTAGGTTTGCGAGACCAAAATGGCGCTGCTTACTATGTATCTCCCAATCCGTCACTAACAGTCGAGCCTGATGTAAAAGCCGGAAGTATTTTCATACATTTGGTGTACATACAAAATGGGCCGGATTTTTACCAGAGAAGATCCAGGCTAACACACAAGTGACAGATTGCGGGGAGCAATGGCGTATCCAGAAGGGGGCACTTCGCACTGTTTTGACAAATATTTTTTTGTCAGCAATAAATGGTCAGAGAGTTCTGACATCAATCTCAAATCCTTAAAAAACGCTCAAAAACATTACAATGGTACCAGCCCCCCCCCCTGCTTGTAATACGGAGGTCAAGTGTCCGAAGAAAAAAAAACATGTCTACATTTCAGCGTGGATGTGCGGTTGCCCCCTGACATCAAAAGCTGAATACGCTACTGGGAGTGAGTCAGTCAGTAAATGAGATCAGTGCAGTTGACACTAGGATGACCCTCTGGGTCAAAGAATACTTTTCGAATCAGACCATTGCAGTGGCGTAGCCAGGAATTTTTCAGTGGGGGGGGGGGGGGGGGGGGGCGCTGGGGGGCTGGAACATTTCATGGGGGGCGTCATGTAGATCAATGATAATTTTTTTAGAAACTCAAAATCTCAGTGGGGGTGGGGACAAGGTTTCATGGGGGGGCTGTCGCCCCCACGCCCCTCCGTGGCTACGCCACTGCAGGTCATACAGTTAAAGTTTATGTAAACTTGTATGAAAAAACTCCCATGATCTATTTGACACCAAGTTTGTGTTAACTTGCCGGTAACGCCCTAAAAATTTATCCACACAAATATGTTTATTTTGTAACATTTTATGTTCGTCTGTCGGTCTTCTATGCTGTTATGTTTACTTTTAGGTACCTTCAACGGTACTATGTTTAATTAACCTGTTCATTTGTTTAATTAAACTAATAACGCACATATAGTTGCCAAATATGGCACTAACAAGTTTGAGGTCGGCAATTTCGTCCTTAAAAATCTGGTTTCGTCGGGTTACCGTACACACAATTGTCCTGGAGACAACAGTACCAAAGTACAGAAAGTCGTACGCAAGAGCTCTCCAGTAAGTATCGCTGACGCCATTATGATTCCAAAATTTCTCACTGTATCACACAGTGAAATAACTCAACAGCGTCGTTGTATTATGAACACATAAAAGCATTCAAGTCGCGTTCTTGCATAACAAGTGCACATGAATGAACGATTCGACTTTTATTCAAAGAAATTTCTATGTACAGTCACCAGACTCGATTCAGTAAAGTCCCTGTCAAAACGAAAATAAACAATCCACGTGCATAACGCACGGCTACACCATCGTATAGTGTGGCAGGGACACCAACAAGTAACAAAACAACTTAAAAAAAAAATTAAAAATTGATAAATATTCTGATTGAATTTTGTTAAAAGATACTTGTTGGTGAGGTATCACATATTCTAGCAAATTGATAAAAATGTACAATATTACAATATGCAATTTTGAGGGAAATGGGCAAACTCTGCATAAATCATTTCACTTGATCATATTCATAATACACAAACCGACAATTTTCATTTTCAGACCCACAACGAGAAATATTGTTAACACTGCGCTTATTGTGAGGAGTTGTGCTGGGAATCCATGAAGATGTTATTTTCAACATAATTTCTAAACAATTTAATGGGACATTCCTGTGACATGAGCCTTCCAGATGAAAAGTTTATGTGTGGGAAAGTATGGTACACAAACATGACTGTGTGATTCAAAAGCAGTTGTTGATGCGATCCCTGAATTTACAGCACTCCGTTTAAGGGTGCACACCAATACATAAATTCCCATAGGCACCAAAGATAAATACCCCAATTTAAACAAATTGGGGAACATACTCTGAACCCTCACAGGTGATCAAAACATACATCAAATGAAAGCTGAATTAATCCTCTTTGCCTTTTTGGAAATCTTTTTTTTTTGGGGGGGGGGGTTAACCTATGACTTTTGGGTGATTTTTCCCTCCAACGATGATCACCCCATCGCCATTTTGAAAAAAAAAACAGATTCCTTCCACTCCATATTAATATAGATTCCATTCAAATGTTTTGTTCAGAAATCCAAATTCAGGGACATGGACCCTTCACTTCTACAAATACAGACCCTCAAGTGCAGGGGCCAAAATTCTTTATTATTACAGATAAACTAGTATACAAATCGTAATTTGGCCGGACCGTCGCGCCTATTTGGGCTGCCTCTCATATGTACTGCGATCGAAAAATCTCCAGCGTAATAAAGACTTGAAGAAACTTTATTTGATTTATTTGATTCAATTATTTTATTTTAAATCTTAAAACATAAAATAAAAGCTAAAAGTTGGACAGGCTGCCACGGATATGTAAAGAAAAAAAAACAATTGTCATCAGACAATTATCCAAACCCCTGCCAGTAAAACACATTTAAAATTCCATTCATAAAAATTAAAGTACTATTGAAAAGTAAATTGTACAAATCATACGAAACCACACGAGACGAGACATGACGAAACATGACGAGACGAGACAAGACGGGGAGATGAGACAAGACTCAGCCAAAAAAATCATAGAGTGAAACATTAGACAAAACAGACAGATACAAAAATATAAAAACGAACTAATAAATAAATACTCTTACAACCCAACAAACAAACAAACAAACACCCAGACTCAATAACGGGAATGAATGACAAACGGGCTAAACAGATTATTACAAACAAAACAAAACAAAACCAAGAAACAAAAGCAATCCCATTCCCCAGAGAGAAAAATGCAAACCATAAAAACAAAAAACCTAGTTGACATACATAGGTCTACACTCACATTATATACACACACTAAAGAAACAACAAAAAAATACCCGGGAACAAAATGAAATTAGACAAAATTTTACATTGACGATAAAATAAATATGACTGCAATAATTCCTCCCTTCGTTTTGAAAGAAAAGATTCACAACCTTCCATAGTTAAAACTTTTTCTAATTTTAACACGGTGACTTCGGAGAACATCAATGAGGCAATCAAACAGTTCTCGTATCTTGTAATCCATGTGTCTATCAGTTCTAAGTTTCAAGTGGTGACACGTTAAAGGCTGTGCGACGGAGCTGCCCTGCAATTCATTCCTGAAATTATTGTAGCATTCCCTCTTAGTTCATTAACTTTATATTAGAATCAACATTATTATCTATGATAACGAATTTGGCGGGAAACAGAGCTTTCACACGGTGACTTTACTGGTTTATTTAACTTTGAGGGGATTCCTCCAACGTCAATTTTCCTTAGTTTCAACACCGGTGTCGGAGTCTCACAAAACTAACTGGGGGAACCAAGTAAACCAAATTGACTGATAGTGAAGTAAATGTTACTACACAATCGGTCAATATTTGATACATTATCGGTTAAGACCGATAATGTACCAACAATCGACTGATAGTGTAGAACATTTTTACTACAATATCGGTCACTTTCTGTTACATTATCGGTTAGTGATACAGTATCGGTCACTTTGTGTGACATTATCAGTTGGTGATACATTATCCGTTGGTTACTACATTATCAGTCGTAACAGCCAGGCGTACATGGACAAGTATAGATTTCATTGATACTTTGGAAAATGAAACCTAATCCCCTCCCCCTCCAAAAAAAAGAGGAAAAGTCATTAAAAACGACAACTCACCTACTGTGACTCGGAGGGCCATATGGGTTTGAGGATTCATGCAATAGCTGAGAAAGACCGCAGCTAGGAGCGAGGAAATGAAACCCCAGCATGCACAGCGAAGATTCCAAGTAACCGCCATTTTGAACACAGGACTTTAGAGTAGGCGTGTTGAGGACTTCACAATTTTCCACTTTGGACGTTATATGCCGGCTGCCTCCAACGTACAAAATGTAGCCTAGGTGGCGTCGGTGTGTACATTTATCAAAACGAATAACCCGTACACACGATAGGGCTACTTCACATTTTTTGGCGACTCGACTCGACTCGAGTCCCGACGGGTAAATGACTCGACTCGACTCGAGTCACTGCGAGCAAATGACTCGACTCGACTCGAGTCCCTCATCAGAATGACTCGACTCGACTCGAGGAAGGCTAATAAGACTCGAGTCCCAAAATAAAAGCAAAACTTACTTGCGAAAAATATTTGCAATGACTTACGCTGCGCCGTTCGCGTTGCCAGTTTTTGTTCACGTCACGTTAATGTTCGCGAATAATGTACGTTTATATACAGCGGCAGTCTGTTTCCTTCCTCCATAATGAAACAACAAACATACACCGTGTCGCGGACTCCCACACAAAAATGGATACGGACGGGCCCACCTTTAATAATCAGAAACAGTTTTGTATAATGCAATTAGGTTTTAACGTTGTCAGCGATCAGCGAACAACAAAATCTAGACCCGAAGCCAAACCAG